AGAGACGAAGTACTTAGAAATCCACTGGGGTGGGGGTGGGGGCGGGGGCGGGGGCGAGGAGTTCTTCACGGTTACTAAGAGGCGAGGCGTTGGAGGTCGCGCGGTCGTGTCCACTTCAACGAACAAGGTTTTCTGAGTGCCCTGAGAGACAAAACAGCACGACTAACCAGCCCAAGCAAAAACGAGCCCGTGGCGCCCTTACAACATTCAAAACAAAAACTAGGGAGTGTAAACCCCATGGAAGAGGAGTAAGGAGGTACTCCCGCTTTCGCCTCCACATTTCAACAACGTGCTAGTAATAGTGTGCTTGGTCGTGAAAGCAATTCTCTGACAAGAAAAAAGCTTTCTCTTAGCGTTGAACTCGTGAAGGAACTCACCTCCAAAAAACAACCAAGGCCGAAATATTCAAATATCCTTCGCGGAGGAGAGTGGACAGTGAAGGATGGATACCAATCGATCGATACCAATGGCATGCGTGCGCGTATGCGTGCCGTCCCCGTTTATACCGGATGCCAGTCTTCACACCCTACTGCGCTTTTTCGGTTTACTTCCTGGACGCACCACCATCAGCCTGGGGTCAAGCACAACAAAAAATGCCATACATGCCTTCCGCCTTCGGTGCTCCAGATTTACTCTCTTGGAAAATATAAATGTACGTACAACCCGCTCGAGATACAACCACAGCAGTAGTCGTCAGAAGTGTTCACAGCTTGCCGTTACGAACATGGCATGCACCAAGGAAACCTCAACCCTCAATATACAGGTGAGAAATTCTCTCTCAAGGCAACAACACAATCCAATCCCAAGAGCAACAAAAATCGGCAAAAGACCAGAGAACGCCTGCTCACGTTAGGATGGGCTCCACGGTGTCCTCCATCGCGGGGTCCTTCATCCGGTTCGTGTAGATGTACGCCGTCCGGGTGTTGCCGGGGCTTCCGCCGAGCCACACCTGTCTCGGCCCGCCGGGAACAACCCACACGAGAGGACACGCCAAGACGGGCAAGCCAGGCGCCACAACAACAGCAACAACAAAAAGAGACGGCTTAGGGGCCAAACGAAGGCTTGCACAAGGGGAAGAGGGCACGCGAGATGGTTGAGGCAATAACAATAACAGCAGCAACAACAACAACAACAACAAGATGGCTTAAACGACCGAACAAACACTTGCACAAGGGAACGCGTAACAGGGTACGGAAAACGACAACAACAAAGCGACAAAAAAAAGTCGCTACCACGTCGAAGTTGCCACCAAAAACACGGGCGGCACAACAAGCAAGCACCAAATTTCACAACGGTCCTCTCTTTTGCCTCAACTCACCTGGTACGAGTCGGGCCCGTCTCCGACGAACGCGAGCTCGGCCATGTAGGGCCGCGCGCAACCGTTAGGGCAGCCCGTCATTCGGACCATCACCTCCTCGTCCCCCAGCCCCACCCTGGCAACGTACGTGTGAGAGGGGCGAAATTACGGCGAAGGCAGGCAGGCAGGCAGACAGACGGTTAGCCCCAGGAAACAAAAAAACCTTACATTGAAACCATTTTCCAACCCACGATACTTGTAGCGAGATCCGTCTCTTTTCTTCATAACGGCAAATCTTCCCGGTGAAAGAAAACAGCAATTAAGATTACTATTGTACTTGTATTAAGATTAATCTTGCATCACACACACGACTAATGACTCACTTAAATTAGAAAAAAAAAAAAATGACTAATGACTCACTTGTCGAGCATGGCGCGGATGCGTTCCACGTAAGACGGCATGCGGCGCTCAGCCTCGGTGATGGCAAGGCCGCACATGGGCAGCGCGGGGCAAGCCATCGACAGACGCGTCAGGGGGTCGATCTGCGAAACAGAAGAAAGCGCCAGCAACAAAAACAGCACAGCAGTGTTAACAAAAGGCCAAGAGAGAGAGAGAGAGAGAGAGAGAGAAGTCTGTCAGACCCGGGATGGATGCTTGGCGGGGGGGGGGGGAGGGGGGCAGGGGGGGGTACTCATGTAAACGCATGCCGTAGCCGTTAACCTCGCATCCCTAAAAAATGCTCGGACGGAGCAATATGCCCGGGTTTCGCCGGCCCGGGCTACGATTCACACGGATGAACCAGAAGCTGGCTATCATTCTTGCACTAGCAGCGGGGGGGCATGTGACATGACTCCTGTTGACCGGGGACGGGACTGGTCATGACAGCCGCGACGGAAGACAAGCAACCAAACGGAACAGAGGGGAACAAAAACGCAACCTTTGGGTGGGTTCAACAGCAGCAACGGGCAGCAGCACCCGCAACAGCAACTAGGGAACCAGAACAGCAGCTTAAAAAATACCAAAACAACACAACAAAACACATCTCTCTGTCGACTATCTGTGGTCTTGTCTCGAAAGCGTTTAGTCTCTCTGTGTCTGTACTAATAGTTCCCAGCGGCGAGAAGACGCAGCGGGTCGTGGACCACCACAGATTTCCTCGTCGGTGACGGGGGTATTCGCGACAGAACTTAACATGGAGTTGGTCGGGTGACACTACGCAACAAGGGCCGACACAGGCCTCCGGATCATCAACAGCAGCAAGCAGCAACAACCGCAGCTGCCTGAACACACAACTGCTGCCCACAACCCCTCGACTCTCTCCCGCCGCCACCGCCCGCGCATCTACAACAGAGGTTCCGATCATAGTGCCGATATGCACCCAGAGGCTTGACGGGCACTCCTCAAAGTACACAATGGCTTCTGCGATTCAGTCTGTGCCCACCGCACTACACCGGGCATCGGCACTATAGTGGGACCGCTACCGCACTACCCCACCTGCTCGATCGGCTTGACACCGTAGCTGTTGAGGATCGCCTCCACCCCCTCCCGCTGCTCCGGCGAGATGTCCCTGAGGATGACCGACTGGTTGGGGGTGCACACCATGGTCAGGCGGTACTTGTCCACCAGGGCGCGGAGGGCGCTCTTGAGCATCACTCCGGTCTCTGTGCGGTCGATCACCCGCCCGTTCTCGATGTTAACCTGGCGGTTACCCAAGCGTGCAGTTGGCGTTTTTCGGGGGGACTAACGTTGTCGTAGCGTTCCTGTAGTGCCGTGTATGGCCATGGTGACAAGAACGACATCACCCGCCGCCCGTCACAACCGTACAGAAGGGGGAGGTATTTACCACCGTCAAGAACGCGACCTGCCACGACCAACACACAAGACAGGAGCAACAACAACAGCACCGGCCGCAGCATGCATGCCCTGTTACGCAAACGCGTTCGCCCCGAGGACCCACTTGCCGTCCCACTGAGGGGGCCCCCCCCCCCCCCCCGATTCCCTTTTTGTTCGTCCCATCTACACCTTCCGGACTATAATGGTAAAAGTATCAGCCGGGGACATACAGCAGGAAGATAGATACCCATAGACAAGTTCGGTTGTTCTTTTGTCCAACATGTCGCCCTGCGGCGCTTGCGCCGTCTATTTTTGACACGACAAAGGTTCCTTTAGCAGTCCCTAACCTGCACCTCTCCCAAGTGCAGTCTGACCACGAATGAATCAAGCACCCCCATCTACCAACTACCACCACCACTCAACGTGCCGCCCAGCCCTACCACACAAAAATAACAAACAAACGCAAACGCCAACACCACCATACTCAATGCACCAACAAACCCTACAACGCAACAACAACAACAACCCCACACACAAGCCCCCCCCCCCCCCCCCCCCCCTGAATAGGGATAAAACCTTATCCCCCCCCCTC